TCGTCCTCTACATTTACCGTGGTAATAATCATTGGCTTGGAGAAAGAATTATTACATGACAAGACCAACTAAATTTAAAGTTAACCTATTATTATTACTTTATTACTTACGCTTGTGATTTTCTTTGGCCTGTTGTCGTTGAAGACTTTGACTTGCGTTTAACGCCTTGTTTGCAACAGTGAATTATATTCATATTTAAGGTGTTCCAAATTGGGATCTTTCATCTTCTCTGACGATCTTTTAGTGAAACACACATTGTGTTCTTTACAAAAATAATTCAATTCGTCTTCAAAAGACGCATAGGTGTCAAAAATGCTGCCAACCTCCATTTTTATAAAAGAATGCGCGGCAAACTTGTCGATTATTAAGCCTCTGGTTCGGATCATGTTTTTTTTTCGATTACTAAGACTTTCGGGTGCGAATAGTCATTGGCGATGATGGGTACTCGGGTACCTATAGCCACTTCGTTTTCACAAACTTAAGTTCGCCTATCGCCAAATGAAACATGTGATGAATAGATTATTGAAATTCAATTCAAATCTTTTGCCTACATTTTAAAGCGACCATATTAAATGTTGTTACAATTTAGAAGTAACAGTTAAATAGCTATATTAAAAAATGAAAACCATTTTATTAAGAATAAGTCAAAAATAGTATTGAAAAATGTATTAACTAACATTATGTTGAATTGATTGAGAAAAATATGGGCTATACGCCTACTGAATAATGAATGCCATAAACCACACATTCATGCTGCTAGAATTTAATTTGTATGACATTTAAATCTTTAGTCAACCACTTATCCTAATATCATCTTCTGAATATTAGAAAATGAACTTTTAATTTTTCTCTCTGCCTAATACGAATTAAGGTAAGTTTGAAAGAAATACCTATAGTAAAACTATGAATTACAGGTGATATGTTTCTTTGAGACAGCTCATACAAACTTATCATGCATCTGGTAACAACTAGGTTACAACTGAAAATAGATATAAACTGGTAACAGGAACAATCTTTGAGCTGTTGGAGTTCAAATCAGTCAACCTACTTTATTTCAAATCCAGTTTTATCTGTGGGGTAGACTCCCTTTGTTTACCATGTATACATTTTAGCTGAAAGGCAGCAGCAATTTTCATTTATTTATATGAGCCACCTTTCAAGGTTGAAAGAAATCTTCAACCAGAAATTTCTAAATTTGTGCCTTGGAAAAATAATGTATTATTACTTATTTGTTTTTAAATGCTTGGGTTTAGAATACAAAGCAGGGCGTACCTAAAAATGTTTCTTCATTTGCTTTTTTTCCTAAAATTTAATTTAATTTACTTAAAATTCTAATCAACTTCTCTGATAGGCATAAATATTATAAAGGAATTGATACTTAGAAATCTAAATCTAAAAGAGCCAAAAAAGTGTGATTTGTTTTAAAAATAATATATATTTAATTATATATATATATTTATATATAACCTATATATATATATATATATATAATTTATCCTGAATAACCTTCAAGGAATATTCTTATGATCCACAGAATGTTTTTCCATGATTTTCATTTCAAGTGAAACGGGTTTATTTGTAACGTTTTGAAAAAAAAAATATTTGAACCACATATAATTCATTGCACTCAGATGCGAGAGATTGTCAAATTTTTAAGCTTACATTGGGCGAGTCGAAGAATTCATTAGATAACAATTAATCTTGCTCATCTTGTTCTTACTTTTAACTTAGCTAGCATTAAAAAACTGGTTATCCTTATGCAATCTGAACATTTTCGAATGGCATCCACATTTAAAGACATGGGAATTTTTCAGTCTATAATTTGTAACAATTTATGATTATTCCACTATTTAAAGCATGGTTTTAAAATATATTGTATAATACGCAGGTATCTCCCGTTCCATTCTGCATCAACTGAATATCAATTTTTAGATTTATTGAAAATAATGGTTCATCAAGTAATGGCTTTGAAATTTATTCACCAAATTAAATATATGGAGTCTTAGAAAAAGTTTCATGTCAAATTTAATGATTGACTTATTTGGTATCATATGCGACTTAAATTTAATCATAAAATTTTGGCGCAAAAGTTATATAAAAATTAGCAATTTATTCCGCTCTCTTGGAAATTTTCTCTAAGCCAAATAAATAATCATAAAACGAAACCCAAGGCTCATTGTTTTAAATTGTCGTCTGATTAAATTCTTCATTAAAAATATATCAACTTACCAAATAGTTCTATTTTGTTTTCTAAATCCACAAACTGGCTTTCAATGCCATCCATCTATAATTGATGCATTTAGATGGAATTTAAATTAATTGTTGAATAAATTTGATGTCAAAGGATAAGGAATCATTTTTAATTTTGATAGAAACAAAAAACAAAAACAAAAAAAACAAACAAACAAAAACCAAATCCTACTGCTGACTGATAATGTAGATCTAGTCATTTGCCATCCATTTATTCCATTATACGATGTTTTGTTTATTTTGTAAGTTTCTAATCTGTTTTTTCGTTTAGAGAATTATTGAGAAGCTGTTGCTGTGCTATTTTCATCATGACATTTTGTGTATGTGAAGTACATTGTAGGTTGTTATGAGTTGGAAGCGTCATAATGGATGTGTGAAAACAGGATGTCTTTATGAACATGAATTTGGTTGTAAATATTAAAATACATTTTTCAAGATAGACAATGAGTTGCCTTTATCATAAAAAACCATGCAACGTTTTTTTTTAAAAATTAAAAAAAGGATTCATTAACGGGTATCGGTACATGCAACTAAGTCAAAAGGAAACATAGCATTTATGCCTAATGAATAAAATATCCATGTTTCATAATGTTAAAATGGTTCATGCTAATCGCTGTCAAATAAATAATATTTTTAAAAAATATTATAAAATACAGAATTTAAAGAGTATTAATAGTTGTTAAAACACTCTGGAATGAGTCTTTTAATCAATTAGATCGATTAACAAATTTACTTAGGAACAAACTAAATTTTTGACATTTAAATAAAAAAAAAAATAAAGTGTTGAGTCATTAGATTAAGTGTAAGACTTATTTTTAAGTCTTCAAAACAGAGATTTATAATAGACGTTTTTTTAGCGTGAGCTTGTTTACTGTCTATAAAATTTAAATTTTTAACTTTTCAAATATTTTAAAGTTACCTTTAAAGATAGCGGGGATTTTGTGGTGGAAATCTTATTCAAAGCCTCTCTTAAGTTTTCAATTGGATTCAATCTTTTGGCGACTATTTGACAAACCAAACCAATCTGAAAAAACAAAGCAAATTTTGTTATTATGTCCAACAAAACCCTTAAAATTTAAAATGAAGAATTTCATTTGAAAATAAGGTAAGTATATCTATAATAGTAATTAGTTTGTACGTTAAAATGTGTCCAGACCATTTTAATCATCGGGTTTGTACCAAGTGCTAATGAGACTAATTCTGGCACAAAATGTTTTGTGCTAAAGGTGCAACGGGACGATGGGTCATCTGCAGGTGCAATGTTGACGTACACTTTTCTGGCTTGTCTTGCTTGCTCTGAAACTGCCTTTCCAGTGGCTTCATGTTTTCTAGGGACCATGTGCCAAGAGGACATCACCATGCTAGAATCGTTGCGAAGTCTTCCAAAGTGTCCATAATAAAATGTAAAGCTTTCAGTGAGATTTTTAGGTTGTCTTGAAAATGATTATTTTACCCATCAGCACACCACTTTCAAAATCAATAAAAGGATTTTTCCCGTTTCCTCTGAAGTTTCATATATAATTAATAACACACAGAAACTGGTAATGAAATAAATAAAAATAAGATTGCAATACGTACTGAATCGTCAACTTTATCCTTATTTAGACTGCACATAGTTTCCAACTGCTCTGTGCACAGAGATGACATGAGATGAATAGAGATTTCCAGCTGATTCATTTTATCAGACATTTCATTATAATGTTGATTTGTACTCTCGACGCTCTTTGACAAATCGTGTATAGACATAAGGGCGTCATGGCTACAAGTTCTAACAGAGCTGATCTGTTCATTGAGTTCATTGATTGAGACATTGACAGACTTATTTTCATCTTCTAAACTATTTAATTTGCCATTAAAATTGTCTACAGTTTCATATAAATTATGAAAATTTGTGAACATTTTTTTGCTTTTTTTCTCAAGTTCTGTAACTGATTTTTGGATTTGATTCGTAAAATTCAAATTTGATTTATCAAAAGATTCAAATTGTTTGTTAACATTTTCCTCTTGAGATGAGACATCTTTTAATCTCCTATCAACATTTTCTTGTTTTTCTTGTACTTGTTCTGTTGTCTTTTTGAGTGAAAATAAATCTTCCTCTAGAATGGCAAATTTCATCGTCATCATTTTTGTTATCTTTGCTTCCATCTCCATACCTGTCCTTGAGTAAAAGACTACAAAATTACATGTAGGACTAAACTTCAAAGTTCATATTACTATGTGTGTATGAGTGTATCTGGAAGAATGCAACAGTAGTTTTATTGCTCATTCTAATTAACTTAAACATTGAAAATTTCAAAAAATATATTTCAGAAAACTTCCCCATTTAAAATATTTAAATTTAAGAATTACAAATTATCATGTTGGGTAAAAATTAAAAAATGAAAGTTACAACACAATATTTTCTTCATCTCTCTTCTTCTTCTCTCTTCTTCTTCTTTATTTTGAGGGTCCACGATCAATGAATTGATCATTCTGGCTCCTATGTTTCAGATTTTAATCCTTATACTTATAGATAATTTAAAATAATAGAGGAAATGTTTTAAATGTAAGAGATTAATTTCAATTAATGTCCTAAATGACACCATTCACATTAGTAAAGTCTAATTCAGATTCAGATTGGTATGAGATAAATGAAGCTCACCAAATTCAGTTAGCCATAATTAAACAATTTCTGTCACAATTATATTCTAAAAACATCTTAAAGAAAATTATGAAGTAATAAAAATATATTTTTAGAAACAGTAAAGTAAATTTAAATTGATAAATGAATTTGATCCCTCACATGATTTTTCAGTGGCTACATCTGATACTTCTTTTCCCCTCAACAACGTATATGAGTTTTCTGAATTCAGATTTTTACTAACTGTTTTATTTGTTGATTCATGGATGTTTGACACTGGAGTTAGATTTTGTTCACCAACATGTTCGATGTTATGTAGACCTTGAGATGAGATAAAGATATTAACAATGAGAATAAAAATATTGCTAGAACGTACTAATAAAAAACGTTATTTAAAACACAATAGCAACAAGTTAAAGATTGTTTGCAAAAATTATTTTATGAAAACAGTGTTGAACATTTTCATTATAAAATCTTTTTCAAGGTCTTTAAAGTAATGACATTTTTTTCCAAACGTTTCTTTTAGAGTAATATCTACATTTTATACTTAGGTCACTTTATATAGTTATGACAAACATGATTACATAATAATGACATTAAGTAATAAAATATTAAAAGTAATTAAAAATTTCTTCCTTTTATCCAAATAAAAGACATTTAAAAATTACCCGAAAGTTCGACAGACTTTGCGATAAAGTATGTTATAGCTTTTTGAATCCTAATTAAAACCTCCTCACAAGTTGTCTGATTGACTTGTCCTCCATTAGTCCAAGTGTCTACTTCACTTTGAACCTTCAAATGTATGGAATAGTGTAACACACCTACTCTGACATGGCGTGGGAGCTTATTTCTTATGCTGTGGGTTATGTCAGTAGTATGGTTACTTATGTTATGTTGATATTTCAGGATGCCGACTAAGGCTTCTTCATTCTTCCACTTATAATCCGGGCACGCAAATAAGAATACTGAATCCTGGTTAAACTTACAGTACTTTATTGAACACACTTTATATTGATAATATTAATAAATAATCCTTGCATGAATGTAATTTCACATATATATCTATAGTATTCCATCATTAAGAAAGACACGTCCTCACACTACTGTCAACTCAGCTCAACTGTCTAATCACACAGCTCTCACGCTACTGACTCTACTGCTCTGCGCTCAGCTCTCTACTATCTCAGTCAACTCATACTTTATTACCAGCAAAGCGTGCAAAACAACCGCTCTGACAAAAACATAATTTTACTCTCCAAAAACGTGGAGCTCACATTTGCATCTCAAAATACATGGTCAACACAATTCACTGTTCACTCATGCTACCTCTCTGTTTTCATGTGAAAACATTGTCCGTTACATGCCCCACCCATCTGAAAAAATTTTGTGCAACAAAATTTTTGGCATTATATGTTGAGATAATGATAATGTCTCTTAGAAAATTTCAATCCCACATCTAACAATCAAATCAGTGTAACAACATTAACATTTCATCATTATGAAATACAGGGCCTTTTACTAGTGAATAATTTACCCTGGCAAAAAATTACAAAATCACCAAAGACACAACACCAATCAAACAAACAGTACACACAATCAGAATACACCTCATGAAACATCAGCTAGTATTTATCACACTGATGGAACACTCAAATTTTCACCAGCAATTGTAAACAATAAAGTAGTTAAATGTCTCAGAGACACTGGTTGTACAACAATAGTTGTAGACAGAAAATTAGTAAATGATAACTACTACACAAATGAAAAAGCCATAGTTATTTTAACCAACAATAATAGAATAGTATGTCAGAAAGCTAGAATCAAAGTTAATTGTCCATGGATCACAGGATCTG